GAACGATTCAATTTATATATGTTTATGTTTATGTTTCTTTATTTCCTCCGTTTTATTGGAGAGCAAAACAATTTATACATGACATGCATATCACATTACAAACATATATTACAGAATAGTAAGGGGTTATATATTAGTATCCCGGACAACCACTTGAGAATCGTGTAATATATTTGGCCGTCCTCAAACTTACGAATCAATGAGATGTTCTGGAGTTTGGAGAGCTTCGAGCGACTTTTCTTCATATCGTAATTATATGATTTCAAATCTATCTTCTATTTTCAATTTATTAATTGTATTTTCAACACAGTTTACATCCCATGCACCGTTCTTGGTATTCGTCATCAGATGCGGTACCAGTTATAGTCATGTCTTATACGTTTTTTTCATTCATAAGTATTCAAATGCCTTTGTACATATCGTATATTATTAGAGTATCTGTCTCAGAAGAGGTTATGTTCAATTGAACTTGCTTCTAAATGAGCAGGTTTGTACCATTCAAAAGCTCGAATTTAGAAATACTAAATTTGACTTTCAATCGGCAATTCTGATGGTCAAGGCTTAATTATTCAAAGTGACATGCCATTTTCATGAATATTTATATCCAAATTATATCCAAAGAGCACTTGTAAGGTTATATACAAAATTTATTACATGTAAAAATCAAATAAAGATGTAAATATATTGTTTGACATGGGGAGGCGGCTGTCTATCGAGAAAGAGCTTATGTAATTGTGTCAGATAAAGAAAAGATTACGTAATATTTGCTTATGTTGCGCAGTGCACACGTAACTTCATGATTATGCAACATCGTATTTGGAATATATACCCAAAAGCAAGAGGAGGGAAAGCCCCGCAGAGCTTTATAGAGATAGATATAATTACGTCTCTTGCTTACTACATTCGTTTGTTCGAATTTTCACCGGCTAGTTTCCATTTACACACTTGGCTTGTAATACTTTACAATGAGCCACAGATTGTTATATTTAGAAATGATAGCTAGAAATATAGAATTATAACCGGGCTACTAATAAAGCAGGAGAAATTCCATAGATACACAGTGTCATTATAACACATTTGTAAGATAACCGGGGCATAGGCTACATTACAAGGAAAGATTAATTTAGATGATTAAAACAAAAATATGCGATAACTTGTGCAGAAATGTTTTGGCTTCTCCAAAAATGTCAATTTCAACTAGGATAAGCACAGACAGCCTTTAAAATAGTTTGTCCCGAAACGTGTCCTCAGTAGACTAAAGTAAGAATGAAAGTATTGCTGGACCTTGACACCCATATGGTTTTACATGCATGGCTGCCAATCGTGTAATGAACTTTAAAATATATAGGTTGAAAAACAATGTGGAATATTGGTTTTGCATCCCAGTTGACAAATAGTGAAATTTTCCTCATAAATAATGGCACAAAGTCATATATTCTATGGGGGTTCAAAGCTTACATCCTACAAAGATTTTTTTCGTTTACATCTGGCAATCTAGTGCAACTGTTTCTAATTTTTCACATGATTCTGAGGTATTTATGCCGTTTCCTTCAAGACAAGGGGAAATAAATTGTTTTACTAATCATTCTATTTCACCTTTACAGTCTCGAGGCTTGTTTTAACCAGTGTTTACTCGAGTTTGGCTTTTATTACGATAATGAAAAACTAAAATAATTGACACCACCCGTCGATTTATATATTTTTTTTATTTATACATGGGTGTTGAAGCCTTTAGATCAGAGCGCTCTGACATTGCCTAATTGTTCATTATTCCTTAGTCTGCGATCGTATTCTCACATTAGATCCTTTGTTCATTTAGTCTACACTCCCTTCCAAAAGGTTTGCAACTGAACGTTTTGATAAGATAGCATACCGATGCCTGTAAATGTTTGAATCTCAATTGTGTTCCTTAATTTACCATACCTCTACTGCCAGACATACAGACGAAACGTGATCCCAAAAGAATCTTCCAGTTGACAAATTTATGGAGGGGAGTGTACATAGCATGTCATTCTTCACTTTGCAATATGGAATCCGTTAATTCTCTATTCCCAATGTGACAAGATTGAAAACCACACGAGATTCATTTTTAAACATTTTGAAGCAATTAACAGATGTTTTGCAAGTAATTTTAATAAAGTTTAAATAACAAACAAGAACACAAACGTGCACAACATGTCCCCACCAATGGGTGATCCTACAGTATATACTGCAATTTTTTCATCTTGAATGCCGAACATAAATCAGTTGAAAAGACAGGATTTTAAGAGAAAATCCAATGTGGCCGCCTTAAAATTTAACCGGACTAAGCATAAACAAAGTAGTTTGAAATTTTCATTCAAAGAATCACTCCCGAAAATGTTAAATCGATCTGTCAACTGGTTCGCGAGAAAAAATGTAGACAAGACTTTACAGAGAAGATTTTAAGACAAAAACCCAAAATGGCCACCTAAACATTTACCTAGAATCATTTCTAAAAAATTGAAATTGATCCACCGTCAAATGGTTATCCTGAAAATGCTTAGACTGACGGAAAATCAAGAATGGCTGCCTTAAACTTACGCAGATTGCCGAAAAACTAATCAGTTCGAGATTTTCACACTAAGAACCAGCCCTGAAAATTTGATCCGTCAAAGAGTTAACCTCAAAAGGCGTAGACAATACTTCGGCTTTATTACGATAATGAAAAACTAAAATAATTGACACCACCCGTCGATTTATATATATATATTTTGTATACATGGGTGTTGAAGCCTTTAGATCAGAGCGCCCTGACATTGCCTAATTGTTCATTATTCCTCAGTCTGCGATCGTATTCTCACATTAGATCCTTTGTTTTTTCATTTAGTCTACACTCCCTTCCAAAAGTTTTGCAACTGAACGTTTTGATGAGATAGAATACCGATGCCTGCCAATGTTTGAATCTTTTTTTCAAATTTATAGAGGGGAGTGTACATAGCATGTCATTCTTCACTTTGCAATATGGAATCCGTTAATTCTCTATTCCCAATGTGACAAGATTGAAAACCACACGAGATTCATTTTTAAACATTTTGAAGCAATTAACAGATGTTTTGCCAGTAATTTCAATAAAGTTTAAATAACAAACAAGAACACAAACGTGTACAACATGTCCCCACAAATGGGTGATCCTATATACTGCACTTTTTTCATCTTGAATGCCGAACATAAATCAGTTCAAACGACAGGATTTTAAGAGAAAATCCAATGTGGCCGCCTTAAAATTTAACCGGACTAAGCATAAACAAGGTAGTTTGAGATTTTCATTCAAAGAATCACTCCCGAAAATTTGAAATCGATCTGTCAACTGTCAACCCAAAATGGCCACCTCAAAATTTACCCAGAATCATTTCTAAAAAATTGAAATTGATCCACCGTCAAATGGTTACCCTGAAGATGCTTAGACTGACGGAAAATCCAGAATGACTGCCTTAAAACTTACGCAGATTGCCGAAAAACGTCAGTTCGAGATTTTCATACTAAGAACCAGCCCTGAAAATTTGAAATTGATCCGTCAAAGAGTTAACCCCACAAGGCGTAGACAATACTTTACAGACAATGTTTTAGGACGGAAAATCCAAAATGGCTACCTTGACATTTACCCAGAATGTCGAAAAACTAATCAGCTCTTGATTTTCATACTAAGAATCATCTCTAAAAGTTTGAAATTGATCTACCAATCAGTTCACCTGAAAACGCGTACACAACACTTGACAGACAAGATTTTAGGACGGAAAATCTAAAATGGGCGACAATAAAAAATAGAATTTATGAGTTTTTGCTTATTTCTTTTTCAAATTATTGCATACAACTACTGTAAACAGTAACATCGACTTTTACAACACAGGACACTTATTTATAAAGCTACTTAATCGTTAAACTATGAAAACTCAAAACACCATTCTAATATGATATGATACTTTAGTATTATCGCTCGCTAACTTCTATAATTTCATCCACATCTGTATGTACTCATAAGTTATCCCTGAAAATTTGAAGGTGATAACTGTAGCAGTATTGGAGAAAAAGCCGGGCGTATGAACAGACAGAGAGGCGGACGGACGAACTGACAGACGCGCCTAGGCCGACAATATGGCCCCACACTATGTGGCGGGGTCTCTTGCACGCTGTTCAGTTTAGATTTATTTGAGTTTTAGGAGCAGGGAAATGTAAAAATCCAATCATGATATATTTGGTATCAATATTACTTTACAAATGTAGTGGACTTTGTGAGCGCATTATTTACGGAAATGAAGTGCAACCCACTCGTGATATGTCATCTGTGGGTCTACACGAGTCCCATTGAGTTGCGCATCTGATTAACCCTGTTGGTAAGCAAGATTAAACAGCAAGGCTGCATTCAGTTTTAATCCTGGGTGTATTCTTTGTGATTCTGTTATCCTTATGTACCTGAATATATAATTAAATACAGAATTTTGTCTGCTGAACAGGGAATCGAACCTAGGCGGATCAAGAACGGCGATGTATTGAGTTTTTTTCAATGATTTAATTTCCTCATGTGTCAGTATTACGGAACGTGCTACCAATTACCTCGAGGCATTACAGGTGTATTCAGTGCAATTAATTTCTTCAATCAAGATGCTGTCCAAATGCATCAGAATACCAAGACAGGGAACGTCCTATCCCTCAGATAACATACGCGCGGCACAAGTAAAGACAGCGAGTGCGTCCAGGTTACCTACTTATATAACCTATTTTATATTCTTTGATTGCAGATCAAGCCTTGCGCCCAGATTCCCTCTTCACTTGACCGTTAACCTTCAACTTTCTTAAATAATGAATATCAAAAATTGGAAAAATTGAAACCGAGGCCACAGAGCTACGTTTGAAATGAATTTTTAGTTCTCTATGAATATATGTAGTTAAAACAATGCTGTACGGCCTGTTTGTTAAAAGGGCTAATGTCCAAGATGTTACATACCATGTGACCATGTGACATAAATTTAATTCGTTGACTATTTCTCAATGACAGATGTCTTGATTAATTTTGAGTTACAAGCGACGCCATTTTGAATTTGATTGGAATTAATTTGTACCTTAACATTAGTAAAAATAATGAAAACGTAACAAATTTAGGATTTAGAACAACGAGACACTGCTTATTCAAAATGCATAGATTATTTTGTCTTTGTGTTATCATCGCATTTGGGATATTCTTCATTGTGCCTTTGGGAGGTAAGTTGAGACTTTAATGCAATGTTAGACCATTCAATTAATTTTTGAACTAATTGTCTTTGAATGTCACTGTAATATATATTTGTGTTTATCTTAAAAAGGCTATTGTTGCCAAAATGACATGGTTTAACTCTTGTAGCATCTCTACTACAGGCAGACTGGCGGAGCACCAAAAAGGGGAGGGGGAGGGGGTGCATGGGTTAAAGGCCGATTTGATTTGTGTATTGATAGAGCTGTTCAAAATGGTAACACTCATTCTGATTTATCAGATTCACTCTTTATCATGTACGTGTTCAGTCAATTCTTATTTTGAAATTCACAATGTCAATGTTTCGTGTAACATTAATTCACAGTATATGTAATGTATACTGACTTAGGTGAAACAATGGTCATTATTTCAACTAACAGCCAGTAAGAATGGTTTATATTGTTTATAGTATTACTGGAGTCCCGCATCAAAATATCCAACCACATCTAGGGGTTTTCTTTTTTTCAAAAACAATACCCAATTTTAGGATTTTTCAAAAAGTAGACCCAGTTCTAGGGATTTTTCATCAAAATGGGACTCATATCTAGGATTTTTTCTTCAAAATTTGACCCAAATTTAGAGATTTTTCGGCGAAAAAGTGACCAACTTTAGCGGCACGCCCCCATATAGCCAATATATGCACCCCTCCTATCGTAGGTCATGCCGCAAATATTCGGTCTTTTACAACAAAATATGGTATAATGGTACTTATTAGCGATATCCAAAGTTTTAGAAACGTTTTTGACTAAAGACCCCTCACTCGTGATTCAAGGATAAATATTTTCAGTTATGCCGTGCTTGTTGTCCAGTAAGGGAATATTATTTGATATTTACAGCGAGCGATGGTTCTTACTGATGGTCTGTTCAAAACATTAAAGTTATAGTTTTGGTACAAAAAATGTCTCGCTCCGGATAAGTATAGATATTTTCTAAAAGTATCCCGATAATTTAAAACTGGATGCCTCAAACAAGCTGAGATTGATAGCAAACCATACAGCAAAGTCAGACCTTAATAACAAGGCATCTGAACTTGTTGGTGGTCTAAATATATATTCGAAGGAGTTTGAGTTGAGGTTTGGGTATTTCCAAAAATATTGGAGGACTTTTCGTAATTGTTTTCCTTATAAATCTTTTCTATATAAGCCAGAGCTTTGAAATAAACAATGTCGTTTGCAATAATGTCACTATATCATTTTCGTACAGATGGTGGCTAAATTCCAAAATGGCCGCCATTCCTCGTACCAGAACGTAATCTTTGAAAACCCAAATACGAGTTGATGGATATGGTTCAAACTTTGTATTCTGATTCCTAGAGACATTGGATGGGAGCTCCACTCAAGAAGACATTCTCAAGATAGCTACCGAAGGAGGAAGGAAAATATCGCAACAGATTTCGTACAGTCATATGTTGGATTTTGGCTATTTTCTGAGGATTTAAATAGGTGCATATGTAAGACCAATGCATAATCTCTAGGAAAAGCACCCCTAGAGATGATAAGATAATTTCGAATTTGAGACAGGGAAGATGCAAACAACCCACCCACATGTTTTTTCAGAAATATTTCCCTGATTTTCAACCCCTTCCACCCCTGCTTTTTTAATTTTTCTTGCGTCAATATGTTGTGTTTTGACACACAGTACATAACCCCTTTAAAGGAATTCCTTTTAGATAAAGTGGAAAACAATATTTCCCATCTTATTTTCCCATAGGGAAAACTCATGCGATCCATTGCTTTCAGCTAATATTGGTCACCCAATCGCGCCCACAATATTATGAGTTCAATTTGAAGTCAGATTTAACGTCTCGACCTTTTTACTTTGAGAAGGTCATTGAACGTCAAGTCTTAAATCTAAAAGTCAGATTTGAATTTCTGATTGGCCAATTTGAAGCAAGTTGAAAACTGAACACTTTGGGTTTGAGAAGGTCATTGAAGGTCAAGTCTCAAATCTAAAGGCAGGTTTGAACCTCTGAGAAATTGTAAATGATCTTGAAAAAAGAACTCGATTTGAAGAAATTGAAAAATACCTTTTTACCTTGAGAATGTCACTAAAGGAAAAATCTCAAGATAGAACTTGTAGATGATTTTGATAATAAAATTGTCAATTTGAAGTGAGTTGAAAACTACCTTTTTGACCTTTTCTGACCTTAAGAATGTCATTGAAGGTCAAATCCCAAATCTAAAGCCAGGTTTGAACCTCTGAGAACTAGTAGATGATTTAGATAAAAAATTGTCAATTTGAAGTGGGTTGAAAAATACCTTTTTGACCTTTTCTGACCTTAAGAATGTCATTGAAGGTCAAATCCCAAATCTAAAGCCAGGTTTGAACCTCTGAGAACTAGTAGATGATTTAGATAAAAAATTGTCAATTTGAAGTGGGTTGAAAAATGAGAACTCGTTGATGATTTTGGAAAAAATTTGAAGTCAGTCTCAACGGTTATTTGTTAATTTATTGGAAATTTGCTATAGAAGCCGAGCGCCAACCGCCATTACAGAAGCCGACCACCGTCACAAAAACGGGGGCTTTAACAAAAGTGGTGACATAGAAATGGCCATGAAATCGTAACCCTTTGAAATAGACCAATGAAATCATTAGAATGAAAGAATATATAAGCACAAATGCCAAAAGGGAAGGGTGACTAAAAACTTCAAGGAAACCCAACAAGAAAAGCAAACTGTAAGTGTAAATCTGTCATAAGAAAAGTAGACCCTATATATCCCAAAACCATGATCTCACGTGAAAAGAAACAATGTCTAACATCCCCCCTCCAATCGAGAACCAATACTAGTATCACAATCCAGGACCAGAACACCAAGGGACATTTCATTCATACTGAAGTCATTACAATACATGTTGAAGAAAAATTGAAAAATTGATAGCCAATACTCAAAACATCAAAAATAGTTGTAGATACTAGTACTCATAAAAGATAAGAGTATTCAGTCTCAAATGATGTGGGATAGATAAAATCCAGTCTCGAAGTCCATAGGCAATTCAAGGGGTCAACATCCGTTCGCAAAGCTATCATCATAATCCATAAAACACAACATTCACAATGGTCATCAGGAGAAAACTATGGCTGGTTTCGATTCCTATTTCTCAACCATTAATACCATAGCCGGGATTCACCTCAAAAGGTGCCAATTTGTTTTATACCATTCCTACATCCTTCAGCATTTCAAGTGGTAAAATTTGAAATTTCAAAATTAATGACTTGTACTTTTCAGCGAAGCCCAGAAAGGATTTCTTAAGTTTTTTACAAGTATAACCTTGTCCTAACAGCTTGGTAACTAAAATATGGTGTCTTGATTTGAAATCTAGATATTTTGAACACGCCCTGCTGTATCTAATAAGCTGGGATACATAAACCCCATATGATGGGTTTAGTGGAACATCGAACAAAGTTCAATCTTTTTTTGCTCACCCTGTACTTCACATTCATAATACACCCTTGGTGTATCCTCTAAAATATCCCATGGTACTCAATAATATGGTGTAAGACAGCATTTTTGTTATCTAGTCATCGTACATTATATATTATTTAATGAGAATATTTAAGTCTCTATCCAGAGATATAGCATACACAAACAATACTGGAAGCATTAAAATAAAAAATCACCTTGGATATAAAAGTGTACTCATTTTTATTAGACTGTATAGCTCCTGCAAACACCAATCACAATGCAATTTGTTTCATGTTTAAAAATGTTAGCACTATTATAACCCTTTTTCAAGAACTTTATTAACAACCTGTATATCAAGATAAGTTATTTTTATGCTCTCCTCCCGCAAATTCATTCAGAAAATCATGTAACGGTGCAACTGTTGAGATGATTGAGGGTTGTGAAGCCCATTTATTAACTTCAGAATGCACTGTGAAACGAGGTCGATTTGGGGGCTGACTCATTAGCTACTGTAGGTAGTAGTTTCTGTTCCTTTTGGTTTCTTTATGATTGAAAGCTTATAATGCGTATATGAAAGTGTACAGAACAATTATCATTACTGTTAAAAGCTAAAAATGTCGAATTTTCATTGGTTGACGAACAATGATCAAATAGAATGGTGTTATTTCTCCCAGTGTTTGAATACTCGCATTCATTTTTTCAAATGATGTAATAAATAATAGTAATTAACTTGATTAATTAATTGATTATCTCACCTTAATGTACGAACGTTGAAGTCCGATGAGGTCTCCCAAATCAGAAACTATTATGAATACCAGTAGTAGGCAAAATGACATTCGAGGGTTGGTTGACGTTCACTTATTGTCTCTAGGGGTTCCCTTGGTTTATGAGTAAATCTTGCCGGAGTAAAACTAAAATACAACGTAAATAACAAATAACAATAGCACTTAAATCGTATGCTTATTTTAATTCTTTGCTTCCAATCCAGATTTCTTTTTTATTTATCATCTCGTATATATTTTTTGCCATAAAGGATATTGTATCCACATAAAAATAATTTAGGTGGTAACGAATCCCCATGTTTGATCCCCTTTTATATCTTAATCTTAAAACTAGAACCCTGGATGCATAACTTAACTTATCATTTTAATACTGTTTTACCCATGAAATGACATATTTCTCAACGTGAACTTTTATTAATTACCTTAATAAAAAATAATGATGACGAAGAGAGTCGAAAGCTTTAAGAAAGTCCACCGGGACAAGAGCGAACCATACATTTTGTTCTACTGTGTAAAGCGTTATATTATTAATTAATCTTAGAATTTTGTTTCGACTTGCTGATCCTTTAGGCCAAAAGACAAAGTCCTAGATACAATGAATTATAACGATAAAGGTTTCATTAAACAGTATATCAGTTATTGAGCATAATATATACACCCATGTAAAGCCAACAAAAAGTTCTAAAAAGCAACCCCAATGTCATTTTACCCTATTGATGCTATAAAAATGGATTTTAGCAATACAATTCAACATATAAGTTAATATACTTGCCAAGACTCGATCATGCTATCACAACTTATCTCAACAAGAAGAAATCAAGTTGATCTCGTAACTATTCACGTTGGAGAGTATTGGTAGAATCCATTTTCAATAGTAAGAATATGGGGTTCTTAAAGAGGACATTAAAGCTTAACTATGGCCTTTTGAAAATTTTGGTTAGCTCCAATATTCGCTTACCAGTTTCATATCCTGGTAATCCAAGATGATAAACTCCCGTGTACAGGTGACGTACAATCGATGCGATTGGAAAAGATAATACGTGTGCGATTTCTTCTCTCCATAGTTCAAACAGTGGCAATGTTACTAGCAGGATAACTAATCTAAAACAGGGACGGGGTAGTAGATATGTTTTATGGATTTCATATATTTAACGAACGTGTATAATTTCTTTAAAAACATGTACAAGTATATGCAAATGCACTAATAAAACAGTGAAGACACTAATCGTTCTCACTGTAAAGCCCTCTGGAAAAGTGAGACTTTATTTAGATAAGCTTGCATTTTTGATAAATTACCATAGGCAATTGTAATTGATCAGCTAAGAGAGCCAGAGGGAAACCTTGAGATATTTTGTCAAAACGGATGTTAAGTTGCTAAAGTTATAATCTGCTTAGAGGATGATCAAACATTTATGTTCAACCAGTCAAATAGTAAGTTGTTGTGCTGCTCTGTACAGTAGGAGGGGAAGGGGTCACATGGACTTTAAGGTCGTATCAGATCTATAGGGGATGACAAAATTGCAAGCAACATGTACCCACCAATATATTCTTTATGATCTCAAATACAATATATCCCAAAAGACTCGAGATATGTTATAATTTGGTGAAGTTATTCAGGATTCAAAGTGCAAAAATTGTAGAAAAAACCAAAATGATTGAAAAATAACACATTATTGTAAAAATCTTAAAGGGATATTCCTTGCCAGACCATTTCTCTCTTTATATGATAGCTATAATCATATTTATATAAACTTTCCATGTTTAGCAAAACATGGGGAAATGTTAGATATGGTCAATATTGATCACTTAAAATTGTAGTGCTCAATTCCATAAGGCTGTCATCTTTTAAGATTTCACTCAGGAAGTGATGTCATCATCTCTCAAGAACTTTGCATATAACATTAGGTAAGGATCTATTAAGAATGATAAAACCAGCTGAATATTATTTTTCAAATTTGTTTATGACTTGATCCTAAAAGTCTCTTCTTTTATTCTAAGCAGGCTGACAAGCGCTGAAAATATTTTTGCACATCAAGTAAGGACCGCTTGCCTAAAAGTGATTTTATGCTACTGTCCTATACTGTTATAGGCAAGGTTGTGAAAGTTGAGGGTTGATGACATCATTCTCGTGTTTTGCTAAATATGCAAAGTATATATGATTGTAGCTACCATATCAGGATAGAAATGGTCTGGCTAGGAATGTCCCTTTAAGTTTCTGGAATAAAGAATGTACTTTGAGGAGTTTTAGAAAATAGACATAACAAGGAATGATATGAGCCAAAATACATTAAAATTGAAACATTTGCCCGCTAGATCTGATTCTCTCTTTAAGTATGGAATTTTGGGATTATGAGAAAATACGCGTGACAAAGATTAACTCGTTTGTTTTTCTCTTGAACAGGCAAATAGCAAAATTATTTCTCGAGGTCCATAGGATCATTTCTGAATCACTCCTGAAGTGATGAATACAAAAATAAACAGCTCAGTGTATATTCGACATCAAAGGTGTGAAAATGTTTGTAGTTTATAAGATAAGTTTCCACTAGAAAACATGTTGTCCAACCCTTACGTAACATATATCCATCGTCAAAAAATTCAAATTTAAATTGTTATTTTGTCAGGGAGTTGTGCTCTAAAACAGGAATACCAGAGAGCTGAAATCGGTATTAATGTAGAACAGTGATATGTTATATACGTCAGTAACTCTAGCATTGAGAACAATAGTGCAACCTACACTACCACCTGGTGCGGCGTAACATATGGTAATAACCGCTGGCAAACTATATTATCTATGCTATGCTACCATTGTGGAAAAATGTAGTGCGCATACTTACCAACTTTAATTACAAAACAAATTTATAGTTGGAGTAACACAAAGGCTTGATTAAGTGCATCATTATAAATACAGACGACGCAGTACTCATGAAATGTTTGTAGTTGAGCATTTTCCATTGTCTCAGCTAAGTCTGATGCTAAAAGGACATATCTAGTAGTCCAAAATCACCGCTATCAATTCTAATGATAATTCAATGTAAATGGACATTATGTTTCTGCATTTTGGTCACTCTCCTTACTACATTACTATTGATTAAACGTTATTTGTAGAGAAATATACAGGGTGGCCCAAAACATTCTCAATGAGCAATGGTGGAAGAAACTCATAAAATCAGAATCGGAAATTTAAACATCAACGAGAAAAATTAAAAGTGATCCTGAAGAAGAACAGATGATGACACATTAATTAATTTGAACTGTGTCATTAAATATACTGTTCATCAGGAAGGCCAACAAGTAATTATCTGGGCCATTGTTTTAAAAGAGGTTCATTGTCAAGTACAACATAGAACTCTTAGCTGTAGCGCTTGCAACCTTTTGAAGTAAAATAGTTAATGACTGCATTTTTATAATGAGAACTGGGCAAGTCCATAGTTTACAGTCATGAATAAGTCTGATAATGCAAATGTTGACATAGATCTGCATCGTTACGTAAGTGAAATTGCAAACGTTGATGAAACTCATGTAAATTGTATTGTTTCATTTTCAGATTGTATCAAATGTTACTCTTGTACGGGAAAGGGTCAAAATGAAATAGACGCTAACGTGCGATGTTTAGAATCAGCTGACCTTGAACGATGTGAAAAATTTGATGATTATTATTACGAAACGGAAGAAGACGAAGATGCCACTGAACTATATGAATATTACTATCAGGATCTAGCAGAACTGAACAAACGAGGGAAGGGGAAGGGACGTGGGAAAGGGAAAAGAGGGAATGGGCGTGTTGAGAGGTCTGCTGATGGTCTGTATTATTATGACGACGAGCCGTCATCAAACAATACAGAGTATGAATATGAGGAGTATGAAGAATACGATGAGGAAGAGGAGGAGGTTTTAGTATCAAAGAAGAAGACACAGAAGAAAAAAATTAATTACGACAATACTATATATGGAAATGGTATGTATGATGAAGATGATGATGACAACGATGATAAAGAGAACAGAGTCCGCAAAACAACTCCAGATCCCATGTTTACTACTACTGAAGAACAACGTGACAGAACAAAGGTACGTAAATCAAGACGCACATGGTAACATTTGAAAGACAAAATGCAAATCGGATTTCCTCTCATGTACCTGAGGAATTTGGTAAACCGCACATTGCCAAGAAAAATGAAAGAGAAATCAACTTAAAATGCATTTCCGATGAACATGTGTTATACTTTACTTGACTTGACTGCTGTCTCGTGTGTATCTCTAATCATGACCCCCGTTGGCTCACCTTTTCATTTAAGTTGAGTCTCACATCTATTCCATTAAATGATATATCAGTTCAATCATTTGTATTTTGACTATGGGGCTAATCAAATGATAATGTCGCTTTCATCCCATTATTTTTACTTGGTAGTACCAATGCTACAGCAAGACTATCAAATTGGGTTGGGAGAAGTACCAGGTAGAGAAGGGCTGTAAAGCAAAGGACCATTGTGAGGAGCTCTTAGACACTGATGCCGAATGGACACGTAGATGGAACTTCTGCTGTGGAAAAATGAAATGCAACGCAAAAATAGGTGAGTGCAACACGTACGCCATCTTTTATATTCTCAGAAAATCCAAAATGTAGCCAACTTGTTCTGAGTCCGATTCCATTGAAAGCCAATATAATAGCTGATTACAAAAAACTTCTCTCACATTCAGTGTGTTAATAACAATAACGCTGGCTTTTTTCAGTTAAAGACAGTCCTTTGCGGGCCTTCGGTAAATTGTGCAGGCAAACCAACGACTGTTTACAGGGATATTTAGACAGGCCAGTGTGCAAGAACTTCTTCACAACCTGTCCAAGAGCCTCAGAGGTATGGAGGCGACCAGAACGTTTAAACAGGGTGGTCCAAAAAAAGTGAACCCCTGCAACTGGCCATATTTCCCTTATTACTTGCAGGAATTTTTTTTTTCACATGTTGTAGAAGAAGGTCTAAAAGTTATGTTGGTACCATACATTTTTCTTAGTCTTGAAATTTGCAGAAATAATAAGCCCTAACCAAACATTACTGAAAATGGACAAATTGTGATTTTCAGTATCCGCGATACTTCAACCCTTTAACACCTTTCCCCTGAGAATTTTTTAAGCTGCAGTCTTAAAGAACTAATATTTTCTGACTTTGTTCAATTTAAAATCTTGCACATTATGGCTTAAAACTAGCATATGGCTCAAAACATTGAATATTGGATTTTCTTTTGATTTTTTAAAGATATTTGATGAAGGGGTGATCAGATTCCTGGTCACAGGGGGCAACTTCCTTCCATAAGAGGCGCCCCTCTAACTGTTGGTGTAGGTAACATACCCCTGAACTGTTGAACAGTTAAAAATGCTTCAAAATGATCAATGAAAGTGTGAAATTTCCAGGCATGTTTGTTAAACGCTTGTAATTTTTTCAAAATTTAAGACTGAGAGTAAAATATGGCATTAACCCAAATTTTAGACCTTTTTCTACAACATGTGATAATATGAGCCAATTCATGCATGTATTAAGAAAATTGTAGCCTGTTGCAGGGGTTCACTTTTTTTGGACCACCCTGTTACTTCATAATATTCCAAAATACAACATTTTAAAGCTTGAATATAAATATGTATGCACATTTGTATGTATTGCTGTATCGTGTGTTGGAATTCTATGAAAAATAATTTATCCGGTGATGATTATGCCTTTACTCAAGTCTTCCCATTATTTTTAAAGAGAATGTTGTCTAATTTAATAGGGCCTGACACACATGACACCGATACTAGTGGTGTTACATTTATTGCAACAGATTGCCGATAACAATAACATCGAAATGAACTCGCTAAAATCAATATTATACATCATAACCCATACTTTTACTTTTCAGTACCATCGGAAAATGGAATGCCGGCCACCTGCGCTGACTCTCAGTAACATAAAGAAGAGTGGTAGTAAATTTGCAAGCCTTTTTAATGATAAATCTAAACGGTGTTTCTGCACAAAGGGATACTTTCCAAAGGGACCTGTGTGTACAAGTAAGTTACATACAATTACACCTATCGGAAAATGACATATTACACCATGACAATACGTTTCTTCTAATCTGGTGCTTGGTGGTAGGCACATCCAATGGCCTTAAAAATCGACTCGAGTTCAGTGACGCTTAGAAGAAATCCTTTCAAGCGATGTCACTTAGAATACTTAAAATCGACAAAACACTATGTTATTCCAGTATCACTTTCGTCATTAATACTAGAAACCATAATACTTATTTCATTATAAGTTGGAATCATTAGTCATTGTTTATTTTCTTTACATTTACCCCTTACTGTTTTAGGTTCTGCTAAGAGAGTATCTTCAAGTTCTCTATTACACATGGGATGTCTAATTCTATTTGACACGCTGTTGACGAGTCTGCTATACCTTTCAACATAGAATATCGAATGTGACTTCAAAAATGACTGAACAATGTAGGAACAAAACTATCAAGATTAGTCGAGGCTCCAAATTCATGGTAACCTCAATGGAGTCAAAATATTATAATCAATTGTGAGCATTCATCTCAATGCAAGATTATAAACTATTGGTGAATCTTAGTACACATGTACTGAGAGTACCATGTAATAAACACAAAAATACAATATCTCATACCGTTTGCATTCGTTCGATTTCGCTTCTTAAAAGAGAGCTTCGTCTTAAGTAGTGTATTTACTGTAGACTCTTCGCGCAGTGTAAATACTGTAAATATCTTTCGGTATATAGATACCAATTGCTAAAAAAGTTATATGTTGATTCTTTGTTTAATACAAATGCGGTTCGACCCAAAACATTTTTCTCTTCTTGAATTACAAAACAATTTCCAATCCAACAGTGATTCAAAATGAAAGAAATACCAGACAAAGATAATTTTTGTTACACCGGCGAAAGCCCATGGTCTAAATGGCTCAATTTCTTGGTGTGAGCTTTCTAGATCTAGGATAGAATCGCCCACCCTTTCTGGTATCGCCTTTTTATTTGTTTAATAAGCCACCATATTTGTTGTTGGCATGTTGCTTCCGACCAAGGAAATAGTTTTGACAGCTATTCACAAGGTTGATCAATAAGATGCGAGAAAACCACTTCAAGTTCAATGTGTCTAATTCATAGCATGTGTTTAATTATCACGTTAAAATAAGAGATTCCCGTAAAAGTACATATCAGTGGGTTATGTTATTTCTTAACTAAAGCCTAACATTCGGAGACTTCACGAAATGACTCATCCTTCCATCGAATGTTGACCCTTGATGTACGTTGGATTTGGGGGTTTATATCATTCCTGAAGCCTTGTATGCAGAGCGATACAAAACATGGCAATCCTCCGATACTTTCTCAGTTATGATGTACTTTTTTGTATTATCCGAATGAAGATAGAGTTCAATACCATATTCGTTTACCAGTTTGATTTTCAATCATGAAATCTTCATAGCTTGGTAATCCAACATCGTTCAATACGTGAAATAGCCCTACTAGTAGTGACCTTAAGAAATGACATATTCCAGATAATAAAATTGAAACAAGGCAGGATATAACATGCAAAATGTCACTACCTGTCAGACGGCGAACTCCAAACGCCGAACAACGTCCACAAAAAAGTTGAAGACTATAACAATATGTCACCACTTGTTGTGGTGACATAATTAAGACAAAAGCAAACAATGGCGAGTTAGGGTCGCCAACGTTTTGCATGGGGAATAGACCAGTGTTACCATGACACATGGCAATGTGGGACATTGATAAAAGAAATAGTTTCTTAAAATCCAAAAAGTGTATTGAGATCATAGGAATGAAGTACCCAGCATCAACTGTCTTATGGTAAATCAGAGTCTTTCACAATCATTAAATAAAGAGAGACTCCGATAACCCAAAATGATGATTTCTATGACCGACCAAAACTTCCTATCTGCTCAATAAAGTGATAACAGTGTTAGTTTATCTTCTATTATGCTATAAACCTAACTAAGTGGCTTGTTGGAGCGTCACAAAACTCGAAGATATTTGAGCGTCCACTTTATAACCGGATTCCTGCAAACATGGAAGTATTTATTGACATTTCGAGAACTTGAGTCCTCATTTTACCATCACAACCACAACCTGAAGACCAGGGTCATTTGCCATTGCTATACTGAAGCTGGCGATTGACTTGTCGTCGGAAATACACTCAATCATGAACATGTTGCCATTTCGATATTTGTTGTTGATGCTTTGTATGACGTTGATCGTCATATATGATGTTGAAAGTGCGGAATCAGAAGGACCAGCCAATTTTAAAAATCCATTTACGAGTCTAAAGGAAACAATTGACGGTGGAATAACTAAAGTTATTGACAAAATAAACAGAAGAGTTGGGAAAGCATCTGATAAAATAGATAAGAAGATAGAATCTGCTGCTGCTAAAATAGATAAAGTGACAGACAAAATAGAAAAGAAAGTGGGAAAAGTGTACAGGTCGTTTCTTGATGCAGCGGTATGTATATTCCATTCATCTACATTATGAATCAGCTAAAGGGTTAGGCTGAACTTGTCTAAGAACACTGGGATTTATTTAGACTATTAAGTAATGTATACCAACTTCAGTTACAAGAAATGTCTTCCAACCTAATTCTAGAGCGCAGACATCGGGGCCAATTGTTGTGGTTGAAATTTTACTCCAGGATGCAAGTTCGACAAAACGTGACAGTGGTCGTGCATACTGACATACTGAAGAGTCAGACAAAGTTTATTTGTTGAAAAAGGGTTCTTTGTCATAATACTCTGACATTTTCGGAAGTCCATAATTGTTTCTATCAATCATTTTGTGAAATATAGCCGAATAATACCAAATTAAAGCTGTATTGCGAGTCTGTTATGAATATCTATGTGTTCTACAGTACATGTACATTCAAGAAGTAAAACAGCTGGACATGTAATGATGGGACGTGCCCCGTGTAAAGTTTGAAAATAAGTTTTTGTCATTCATTTAATATTCGTCATGACTTCAAAAGTTTCTCAAATATTCAAATTTCCCCCCATTTTAAATAAAAGTTTTAATCATCAAATATTTCACGATACAGTGCAAAAAAACATTATTTTTCACACCAAAGCAAAGATTAAACAAAGGACACACTATTTCAAAATAAAATGTCATATCTAATGTGCCACTTCAATGTTTTAGCATATCATCATGCCATCACACAGATGGCAAAAACTTTATGAAAAATTTGGAAAAAAATTCTATGCAAATCTTTTCTAATAATATCCTAAACTTCAAAAATAAATCATTGATTGTCTAGCCAGGTTAAAAGGTAAAAGGTATTATGTTTTAAATATCATTGTTTCGTTGGTTTCTATGAGAACTAAAATTTTCTTGATTTTTCCAAATTATAAAAATCAATGAAACCTATTTCCAGATCTTGTGATCCACCTGTGCCTGAGCACAGATTACAAGACCCTATAGTTCATGTTGTTGAAGTGGATAAGGGGTCGGGTAGGCTCTTCAATTAACTATAACAAAAACTTTCACTTTTATTGTTCCAATCCTTGCAGACATATCTGATGAAATTTGGTTACCTTCGAACTCCAAAGAAAGGGGCCTCTATAACTGATGCAGAATCAGCTGTAAAAGCAAGCGTTGCTAACTTCCAGCGATATGCCAGAATTCCCGCTACAGGTAGACCTTGCATGTACATTTTATCGCAAGTTAGTGTTTTTGGTATCTCTGAGTTTATTTTAGAGATCTCTATCTTATTGTAAAGCTCACTGTTCTGAGCAGTAGCCTGTGTTGTTTGTGTCTGTCTAATGTGGCACATGAAGCTTGCATATTGGGCTGAGGTCAAATTGACTTGAACGAACCGCATGCCATATTTAACCCGCTACAGGGTGACATAAAGAATGAAAACTTCTAATTTTTGTGGAAACTGATCACTTTTTCTTAGTTTTCATACTTTCGCGCCAAAAAGCCGAGATGACAAATTCTGATAAATTATTTATTTAAATCACACGCATACTCCATCCTGTAGGTGAAGTAGACGATAAGACGCTAGAAGCAATGAACTGGAAGCGATGCGGAATGCCAGATCCAATTATTAACGGGCGCAAGAAGAGATTTGTCACGCAGTGTAAGTATAAAGTAGGCTATGTAACTTTGGTTCCGTGGAAAATCAAAAGTCCAAATGGCAGTAAGGTGATAGTTTTTCTGAACTTGCAGAGGTCGAGGAATGCAGCACAGTGTTTTAAAAATTATTGTGGTATATCAACCAATTATCCATCGTTTACAGTCAAGGCTAAACTATATGTAAATGTAATTGGTATACACTCGTAACACTCCCATCCAAAAGTTTTGGAACCTTTTTTAAAGAAGAAAAATTGTTTCGAGGGAGTGTACATACAGTCTAGTACATACATATGAGCAATTAGCTACATTTTAAACATTCTTGGGCCTCGGGCTTGACCTACTCTTTACATTCGTTCGACTTCGCTTATTAAAAGAGAGCTTCGACTTCATCTTCATCGGTAGTTTACAACTAGAGTCTGCGTACATGTTAGCTCTGATTACAGTTATCCCTTCGGATCAAAATTGCTAAATAAATTGTGTACACGTTAGATAGTGGTAAGGAGTGATCATAACGCAACAGACACCAAAAACCAAAAAAGTTCATTGATTTGGATCTTCACTCGTTCATATTACTTCTTTCAGCCAAATGGTCCAAGAAATCACTAACCTATAAGATCGAGAACTATTCACGAGATTTGTCACGTTCACAAATAGACCGTGACATCTACAATGCTTTACAGGAATGGAGCAAGGTATCCGACCTGAAGTTCTCGAGAACATCTGGAAAGGCCGATATTGCTATAAGATTTGAAAATGGGGACCATGGCGATGGATACCCATTTGATGGACCTGGAAGTGTTCTTGCACATGCGTTTTATCCATCGAAAGGCGACTTACATTTTGATGATGCAGAATCATACACAGCTAATACGAAAAAAGGTAAGGACATATATTCGTTTAGTTGCACATGATTATCTGGCAATTCAAAAATCTCCAAACCTGTTCTCTTGCCTCATTAATATCTTTTGACCTAGCTTTCAAGTATTGTGCAAATTAAAGAGAAAATGTGATACTTGAAATGAATTCTCCACACAGATAATTAACGTATTTGAGACGTAGGGTCTCCACACATTTCTCCTAGTTTTGACAATAATGATCACTGGTCTTTACGTCCTATCATAGTGGATCTTTGCAGTTTTATTTCATTGTTGTATTTCAGGAACCAATTTGTTCATTGTTGCTGTTCACGAATTGGGGCATTCACTTGGTTTGGACCACACTAATGTATTGGGAGCGACGATGTATCCATTTTACCAGGGTTTCGTAGAAGACTTCAGTCTACACCAAGATGACATCAATGGAATACAGAGCTTATATGGGCGGAATAGTGGATCCAGTGGATCTAGTGGATCTGGTGGATCTGGTGGATCTCGTCCAACGACGCCTCCACGAGGGCGTTGGACGGTATGGTCGTCATGGAGCAGCTGCTCCAAAACATGCGACCAGGGTGTCTACTCAAGAAGGAGAAGCTGCTACGGAGGGAAATGCAGTGGTTCTGGAAGTGAAACCAAAGCCTGCAGACTGAGAAGTTGCTCGAATGGTTCAGGTAACGATTTGTGAAAATATCTTCCGTATTCCAAACTTTCATAATCCCTTAATCATGCTTAATTGAATTAATTAATTATTCTGAATAAGGTATGATTTCAAAGTAATTTAACATTTGCACAGAATACAATTTCAAGGTTATTGAAAATTTCAGTTTTTACTTAGTAGTATTCACTTTTTAATTATAAACACTCGCTCACACTTTTTACAAAGGCAATATAACTTTCAAAAACTTTAATGATTTTACAGGTTCTGGTAGTGGTGGCAGCGTTAACTGCTACGATTACGCTGCCTATTGTAGCGCATGGGCAAAACAAGATCAGTGTCGACGCAATCCGACCTATATGTTGGCATACTGCAAAAAGTCATGCAATGCGTGCGGTTGGAATAAACCATCATCAGGTATTGTTTATCCTATGATTACAAAGATTACATCGATTAATCTTCTACAGAGAAAAGGAGTTCCGAGGACACCGCTTGCCCCCTGTTGCCCACACCATTTCCTTTTGATGGGGGGATGTAAGTCAAATCAATATTAGACTTAACCGGTGAGCCGCGTGTCTGAAGAAAATGTCATCACAGAATAAACGTTCTAAACCATGGCCCATTTCCATTTCCACCAGGCTTGAAATGTAATCTACTGAAATGATTAGTTTTTTAAACCCCCTCAAAAATGAGCCCTTCAGAAATGTTTATAAGCCCCATTTGCGGCTTTATCTGCAGTATTCAACATTCTCAAATTTCACTCTTGTGTAAAAATGATAATGCTTTTCATCCCCGTAGGTCGTTGGGGCAGCTGGTCATCATGGGGATCATGTAGCAGATCCTGTGGTGGAGGAACACGGACCAGGCAACGCCGTTGCTATGGGAGGAATTGTAGCGGGTCGTCAAGGGAAACTGGTTCTTGTGGCACGAGTAGGTGCCCATCCAGAGGTATGTATAACTATTAAGAAGAGTATCTTCTATCAATATGACAGTTGTTCGTATAAGTTGGTAAAATGGATGCAATCAAAATTCATACCGTATATAAAATAAACCTTTCTGACCCACTTTTGGCGAATCAAGTAAAGTAGGGCATGTATTGGCTAGATATATTATTTGCAGACAGAAATGTTTGCAGACAGAAATGTCAGAAGTCTTCGAAAATTAGCAAGTCTGGAATTGAATATGGTATTGTGTACATGTACCTCGGTGTATATGATATGCTCGAATCACATTACAAATCGTAAATGAAAATCAGTTTCAACCTAATGTATCAGGGCTTTATTGACGAGTATACACCACGCAAGACTAACCTGTACCGGACCAGACAAAGCTCCAAAATGTCAAATCAAATTGTGTAACTTGGTCCCTGACAAACGGATACATTTGCCAGACCTGTACTTTCATCAAATTACTGGTTAATAAGTATGAAGATATCCAGATAAATAACTTCGAATTTTATTTCTGTCACGATCATTTATCTACGAATACCAGCAAAAGTATAAGTTCAACAAACTAGACTATTTCAGTGCACCATTGAAGAGATATATAAACCATGATATTTTATAACAATTAATTACGATGATCGTTTTTGAAAAAGCTGCTTTTATGTGAAATAGTAGTGTAGTTCCCAAGACCTAAAATATGTATTTGAAATTCAGTCGATGATGCACTTGAGCAATAGTTTGACGCCCTCCAATTTTGTTTGGTCTTGTTAAGTTTAGCTCAGTGTAGAGTAGATTGCCTATGACCGGATCTATGACTCAGTTGCCATCAATTGCGTCAGGGTGTGTTTAAATATTGCTGTTGGTTCTTTCACTAACAGTGTTCAAAATGTTGATTTGCTTTAGAGGGCCCATTCATCTCATCTAATGACCACGCACCATCTTATAACAATTGCGTCAGGGTGTGCTTAAATATTCCAGGAAAATGGCATCCGTGGGCATCGTGGGAAACATGTTCCAAGAGTTGTGGAGGTGGTACAAAAGTAAGGAGAAGATATTGCAGCGATCAAGGTTGTACTGGAGATTCATATAAAACGGCTCGCTGCAACACACGTTCTTGTCCAAGAGGTATAATCATAGGTTAAGGGCATTTAGAAATAGATATATGATTCTGATGCTGCTGTAGCCTTGCCTAGGTCGGTATCTTTTGACTTTTTTTATTCTTATATTTTCACTGCTATATAATTGAAAATCAATATAAATAAAAGATAATACCGACTTGGGGCAAGGCTACTGCTGCTTCTGCCATCTTTATATCGAAGAGTCGTATTAGCGAAGTTTTTATTTCAGGTACAATTACACTTAGATACATAGTGCAATTAAACAAGATAGTGCATAATAGTGATTTCATAAGTTGCTGATTATTTCTGCCTAGAGCACCATCCGAAATACATCGTAATATTGACTTGGTAATTGAGAGAATATCATGAACATTAAGTCAACTGATCATTTTTTGTAGCGAAATGGAACGCATGGGCAACTTGGTCCACGTGTTCAGAGAAATGTGGAGGCGGGACTAAATCCAGGAGAAGAACGTGTAATGGATCTAATTGTAAAGGTCTTAATTATCAATGGAAATCGTGCAACAGTAAATCATGTACAGCAAGTAAAAGTGAGCCTAGATCCTGATATAGTGATAAGTAACAGAGGAGCGGCTAATGCATGTCTTCATTGAAGCCACACATTACATATTCACTTAAAATAAATCATCCACTTAAAATTCATATACAAAATGATATCATGAAAATTGTATAACATGTTACTATAATTTGTGTTCACTAGTGTTATAAAGGGTCACAATTTTAGTGTACCATTTGGGTGAAAGGCCTAAAACATAATGTGAGTCAATATATGATACATTGCAGCCCACCAAGAGTAAAGACTTGAGTAAAGAAAAAAAGATTCATGGATCGAACATGAAAACATTGTTTCGTGCAAATGATAATCTATTGACTATCAATTTCAGCGAGTGAATGGCGTGACTGGGGTGAGTGGAATCAATGCACGAAGTCCTGCGGGACAGGCTCTAGGCTGAGGCGTCGTACATGCGCGTATGGGACATGCTCCGGAGCAACAACACAATCAAAGAAATGTAACACCAATCCATGCAGCCGAAATGGTACTTATTCCGTTTTTGTAAATAAATAAAACACCACATAATTTTCATATGGTAAAATTCGTAAATATCGCTACTATGGTGAAAAAAGTAGTTATCCGATTAGTACAGGGTGTTCCAAAAGTAACAGGACTGGTGCTGACATTTTGTCAATTATGCACCGAGTGTGTTCAAATTTTCACAAATTGTACTTTGACGTAGTGCAACTAAGATTGTTAAGGTTCAGAAAAAATAATAAAAGGCGGGTTAAGTTATGGTTACTATAGAAACGTGACATCACAATACCCGGGGCAACTTTTTCATGAAAATGTAATTTCTAACATTTTTATATTACTGAAGAAAGTATCTAGTTCACCTATTACAATACAACATTTCTTGTTTGTTTTATTAGTTGCTTTATAGTGATGGTGTTGCTATACAACTCAGATTCAAATTTGATTTAATAATTTTAATATTAATTCAATTTCCTGAAATATCATTATGTATAACAGTCTGCGCAATTCACTGTTGAGTTTTTGAAAATACCTAATTTGAAGCCAGTCATCCACCTTGATAATGGCGCCTGTCCACAAGTCAGCATTAAAGACCACTGCAGCTATAGCAGAGCTTAGGTTTTGAGGTCTAAGACCATGCACCATACTCTTCTGATCATGCAATATCTAATTTTTACATTTATATATAGAATGGAATGCTAATCAGTGTGGTAAGACCTTTAAAGATGAGATTGACCATCTCCAAGTTGTCATATCGATCCTGCGTGATGTCATCAAATGGGTTTACTCATGTGTTTGAATCATGGATACAGAGTGCTACTCTTGGACTAACTAAAGAGGACCGCACTTTTCAAAGTAGAGGATACATATAGGAATATTAAATGATGTATTTAGCAAATGTAATTCCCACCAGTTGTTGGATTCTAACTTTGATATGGGATGTACAAAATGCTTATAGTCTCTGTAACTTTCTGCGTGGAATGTTGCCCCGGCTATTGTGATGTCATGGTACCATAGCAACCATAACTCTACTCCAGTTTCATAATTTTTGTCAAAACTTTGAAGTTTTAGTAACAATACATGAAAGTACATGATGTAACATTTTGAAGACGATTGGTGCATATTCAACAAAATGCCAGCACCAGTCCTGTTACTTTTGGAACACCCTGTATAACAAAATACATATTGTATCATTCAAACATTTCAGGCAAATGGGACTCGTGGTCGTCGTGGACGGCGTGTTCACGTTCGTGTGGGGCTGGATCCAAGAGACGAACGCGGTCGTGTGTCCCCCGAGGATATTCGTGTAAAGGAATATCTGTTCAGGATAAAAAATGTAATACTCAATCATGCACAACCAAAAGTGAGTCGATCAAAAGTGATGATGTATAATAAATCATTTTCATTGGGCTATTGTGTCGTCTTACTGTCCATATCTACGACGAACCAGTCTCGCCTTCTATGGGGCTTCAATTCGAAAATAAAGAACTTGTAGTTATGAAGGTAAATAGCCAATATAAACACAGGCACTCATGAACAGAGAGAGACAGTGGTGGTCTGGCTATATCTCTTCTCGAAGACAGACGGATCACTTCTGCTATCTTTCCGTCGACTTCGCTATGGTACATAAACCATCGGATTTGTTTAACTTTCATCTTCAGCAAAACTTTCCGAATGGTCAATTACTAAGGTAGGGTAAATATTGGGTCAAGGACTTATGTTTGATTTTTTCCAGGTAGATGGGCTCAGTGGGGTACGTGGTCTACCTGCAGCAGGTCTTGTGCGGGAGGAAGCACGAGGAGACGGCGTGCTTGCATAGGTTCTTCTTGTAATGGAGTGAGTTATCAAGACAAGAAATGCAACAAAAAGACTTGTCCAACAAGAACACCGTATTCTGTGGACAAAAGCCACGGTAACATTTAGGGAAATTTATGTACGAAAAAGTTGAGGCACAGTTTCCTTTGTTTTATATTCACGTAATAACTGCTTTCAAAATGGCTAAAACTAATTCAAATTGTTCATGTGTGCCGAAATCGTGAAAATGAAAATCTGTGTATGTAATAGATGAAGATTTCAATACTATAAACTGGTATGTGGATGACATTCACCAGTTTGACTGGAATATCGATAAATGCAACCATTTTGTTTTTAGATTACTTCCCCACATCCAGCATCTATCGGCACCCTCTCCCGAATTCCATGTATCGATATAATCTATTGAAATCTTCCTGCAGGTGGGTCATGTATAGACCAGAAGCCATCAGAATGCCCAAGTTGGGCTGTACGTGGAGCCTGTAGGACAAATGAAGAATACATGAGGACAAATTGTTACAAGTCTTGCAACTATTGCCGTTCAAATCAATCTTCAGAGCGAGAAAATCCACAGAGTGAGTATAGGAAATAGTAATTGTATTTACCCCTGATATCTTAATTAATTGTACTTATTATAGTGACGTGATTTCTTTTTCCACTCTGATTTTGTTAGCTCAATAATAATGAAAAAAAAATCATTTTTGTTTAGGATCTACCTGCACAGACCAAGACCCGGGCCGTTGCTTGATATATATGAGGGCGGGGGAGTGCACCAAAAGACGTACATTTATGAGCAGGTACTGCAGGCGTACATGTCGGTTCTGCCGATAGGATATCATATATGGACAGATGCTGATGAAACAAAATTGTAAAAAGACAGCTAAGCGCACAATGATAATACATAGCTATAGCTAATAGCTATACCACTCTTAGTCCATTTATAGCTGGATGACATGTGTGTGTACTAACAATTTGGATACACTCTGAGTACAAATAGAAAAAACAGAACATAGGCTTTAGGCCAATAAAAAGATGACAGTTAAAGAGAATATAAGAATATACTTATATTGATATTCTCAGGTTTACAGTACTACCATCTCTCTATGGACATTCGATCACCCATGAAGCCCTTGGTACCGCTTGACACAAAAAATGACACCCACACCTACATAATGTTTCATAACTGTTTGTCTAAAGAAATTCTGACTTGTTTTTCCCACATTAAAACTACACTCCATTTTTCAACTCCACAAGAAGTTTCAGATGACTAGCTCACTTAGATGCACATTTATGAGCGTTACAAAATGTGTCGTCTATTCCTTTGCTGGCGCAACTGGATCTTACACAAAAAATGACACCCACCTTTTGTAACATAATTTTAGAATAAGTTATAATGATTATATCAACAACAACTACATTATTTTGTGTTTAATTGGATGGACTTCATTTCCCTGAAAGTACAAGACAAAATTATTAGTATTTACATTAGTTATGATACAAAACCTAGGTGGCATGTTTTGTGTAGAATCCGTGTGTGTCTGCAAAGGAATGGACGAAATTTAGAGCAAAAGTTGTAACGCTCAAAAACTGACCAACTTGAGCTACACACCTGATATTTTGGGCAGTGCTTTCGCATTATGTCTGCTTTGAATTTGCCAAAGGACAAGTCTATATGTTACAAGTCTATATGTTAAAAGACAAACGAGTAACAACGTAAGGTGTGTGTCATTTTTTGTGTCACCCTGTATAAGAATATTAATACGACGTCACGCTGCACTGGTGATCCGCTCGATTACGCTGGTTACCGGAACGGTTCGTTTTGGTAACAAAATGTCGGACATCGAAGGTACGATTTTTCCTATTTCACGCGTTGTAGGCAGAATCCCAACGACGTTTTTTCTCACAAACGTGTATCAGCATCATATGTTTTAGAAAATGTACATGTTTGCGAAAAAATAGCTCAGAAGACAACAGAATCGTCGATTTAATTCCTCACTTAAGTTACATAAACGGTTTGGGTTAAAAGTGCAGATCTTACGGTCAAGACAAGTAACTTAGTCAACATTCGATATTCGTATGTTCATCAATATTAACTAAGAATGGTGCCACAATTAAAGTAAACCTCTGGATAATTATTTTCAATTAACTTATCAGCAAACGTGTAAATGATAATTTTGATGTTCTGTTACATATTGGTGAAGCAATCTTTGGGATATGACCTAAACTTCTGATTTTCCACTGTGTCCCTGTATACCCCTACTTCAAAAGATATATGTTATTCGTCATTTTTCATTATGAACCAACCATAAATGTATTTTTTCTTGTTTACATACAGAATGAACTTTTGGTTTTCAAATATTGCAAGACGGTGCTGCATTTATCTGTTCAGGATATCGGGCAAACAAATGCGTGTCAAATTACACTGTAATATCCTACATACTTATATTTCAAGGGTAGTTTTGAATAATAATCAAGAAAATCCATGTTTTCAAATGGATTCATCCTTGTCAAAGGACGTGAATGAGGATATGCCGTTTGAAAAACTCACAACATGTTTCAAGTTCTTACAATTCTTGGTTAAAAAAAATAATTTGAAAGTTGTGATTTCGAATGTAATATCCTACTCAATGAAATTTGTTGAGATTTGTGATTTTTTTCTTTCGAAAAGCACATTGCTGGATAACAGAACCTTGCCATGTTCGAGATGCACGAAAAGTGTTTTGTTAATACTTGACGTCGTACGGATATGTGGATGTGATGGACGTTTTCGTTAATCTCCTACCACTGTAACTTACAACTTAATTTTGGGAAGCCAAATGTGATAGTCACGAATTAATATTTAAGTCACACGTTGATGCATACATCATGTGTGTACATTAACTGTCGAATACATGCCAACTTACATTTATATAAATATCCACAATTAACTCAAATCATCAATTCTCGAAACGGTTTATTATTTAACCTGTTGAATTGAATGTTTCATTTTGATTCATAATTATGGTATCGGATTTGAGTATAATATAAGTCGAGGCTTAAACAAAGCAATAACATTACGTGAAACCCTTTGTGAAAATTCGAACGATTTTTCAAGAATCCTCCTTCAAAGTGATACCAAAGTGCTCCCCGGGAGTGGAAATTTCGTCTTGTGTAATCAAAATAATAGAGCGGGTGGTTTGAATTTTTGTTTGAGTTTATAGTTTACATCTATAAATTGAAAAACATATCGCCTAATTGAGAGGTACATGCATATTTTAGCGATCTATCATTATAAAGGGCTAAATATTGTGCAAAAAGAGGAGTTGACACGCTTACATTTGAAAATGAAATTTCCTACATAATCGTCGACTCATGTTTAAAAGTCATGAAAACAAGGTTGAACACAAAACATTGACCCAGTTACTGTCTATTCAGCATGGGTTCACTAAGGGAAATATTTTTAATGACTTAAATCGTTTACAGTTAAGTTGTATTCCAAGAAACTTATCAATTTAGAAATGCAAATTGTTCAATTTTGTTTTTCAATTATAAAAAATGGCACCTGTAGATAACAACGTTTTCAAAACTTTTTAAAACGGAGATATTTACTTATGCAACATTCATTGGCATGTGTCAGGGAATAAATAGGAAGAATGTGCATTTGATTCTATATCTTGTTCCTGAAGGAGTTTGTTAAGGAGCGGTATATCTTAACGTACTTTTATCATCCCGAACTCAAACATTTCAAATACTTATTTCGAGAACGCTTTGTTGAGAATGGATTCGAGATGTACTCAAAATTAGTGCGTTAAAATGTGTATTATCATCTAAATAACCACCTCACAAATTATTTTGGAAATCAAAGATGTACGATTTTTGAGATTTTTATTTTCGAATGTTGACTTACTTACTTGGCTTGACTGCTTAACTGTTTTTCGAAAAACCGTTTATGTAAATTAAGTGAGGAATTAAATCGACGATTCTGTTGTCTTCTGAACTATTTATCCCGTTCCAGGACTATAGTCCTGTACGGAGCCAATACATTTGCCTGTACGATTACAACTTGGGAGAATTATCTACGCCCCTTCCACTTAAGAAACCTACCTCAATGCATTCTAGAACTCAAAATGTAACTTCTAATATATTGGAACCGCCGATTGTCTGGGTTAGTTGGCAGAACGAGGTCTTTTTGTTTCTTATGGCTCTTTTGGTCGAAGTTCGATTAAGATGGCGGTTATAACGGAATTTTCCGAACTCTTCCGTAATAGCACGAACTTGGTTTTTCGTTACGTCACTTCCGTGTAAAATGGATTTGTTTCGGGTAAGAGGGAATTTCGAAAATTTCGGACAATATTTTCAATATTTACTGCCATGTCGACATCCTATGCTCTTAACTGTATACCGAATGGTTAAACAATGTTTCTTACCGGAAACAAATCCATTTTACATGGAAGTGAAGTAACGAAAAACCAAGTTCGTGCTATTACGGAAGAGTTCGGGAAATTCCGTTATAACCGCCATCTTAATCGAACTTCGACCAAAAGAGCCATAAGAAACAAAAAGACCTCGTTCTGCCAACTAACCCAGACAATCGGCGGTTCCAATATATTAGAAGTTACATTTTGAGTTCTAGAATGCATTGAGGTAGGTTTCTTAAGTGGAAGGGGCGTAGATAATTCTCCCAAGTTGTAATCGTACAGGCAAATGTATTGGCTCCGTACAGGACTATAGTCCGGGAACAGGATAATGAACTATTTGTTCGCAAATATGTACATTTTCTTAAACATATGATACTGATACACGTTTGTATTAAAAATGTCGTCGGAATTCTGCCTACAACGTGTGAAATAAGGAAAAAAGAAAAATCGTACCTTCGATGTTCCGACATTTTGTTACCAAAACGAATCGTTTCGGTAACCAGCGTAATCGAGTGGATCACCAGTGCAATAGCTACTTTCAATATGATACGTTGATTTATATATCATTTTAAAGGTAATCCATTTTCAAACAGTTTGGTATATAACACTTTGTCATGAAATTAATATTTAAGTTTTATTATACTTATTTGTGAGGTCTCTAGATTTTAGGGAGAAAATAGTAAATCTGCGGAATTATGTTAATTTTTTATTTATAGAATATCATTTTGTTAGGTGAATACATGCTCGTATATTTACATAGTTGTGTGACTAAACTTATTGTTTATAAATGTCAGTGTTGTTTATTATCAATAATTACTCAAAGGGGCTGCTAAAAGACATTAAACGTATATGGAGGATTTTATTTTTCAACAAGACATTGCCTTGTACCATAGATCTAAGGAGACATTGGCATTCCTTTGCGAACAAGGTGTCAATTCGATTGATCTCGATGCTTGGCCACCCAACAACCCCGATGCTAATGTGGTTGATTGCCATACATGGAGCCATCTCGAGGAAGTGGTACAATCGCAAGTATCCGATAAACAGCATTGATGAGCTGAAACACAGAATCCTAAAGTGCTGAAATGAATTGCAACAGAAATCTGTCGATAAGGCTATTGATGGATTGCGCTACCACTTGAAGCTTATTGTTGACGCTGTATATTGAGCAATTGTTAAAATAAATAAAGTGTTAAATGTTATCAAACAACACTGAAATTCATAAACAATAAATTTAGCCACACATTGTTGCAAATATCAATATCCAAGCATGTATTCAACTTACAAAAAATGATATTCTATAAATAGAAAATTAACATTATTCCGCAGATTTACTTTTTTCTCCCTAAAATCTGGAGACCTTGAATAGCAACCCGGCCTCCCAAATAAGTATAATAAAACTTTACTATTGATTTCATGACAAAGTGTTAAATACCAAATTGTTTGAAAATGTATAACCTTTAAAATGATATGTAAGTCAATCTACCATATTGAATGTAACTATTTTTATCCTGATTTGAAGTTGGGTATTGTTTTTTTGGCCCAACCTGTACATTCATTTGTACTTTGTAATCATGTACGTAAACGTAAGGAAATAAAAATCAAACTTTTATTTAGTTACAACAGGCGATCTTGATTTCATACCTTTGTCCACATACATCAAAAAATGAATTTCTAAATTGAAGTCGAGCTCTTGCTAATGCGGAAGTCTTGCTTCATTCCTGTCATAACAGTATTTCATTTTTTCATTTAATTCAAATGAGGCATGAAAAAAGCATCCCCAGAACTATTTGGAAGATCAATTAAGAAAATAAGAGCATTGTTAGGCCATACATTCCTCGTTTTACATTAGAACAATTGTTATCGTCAACTTAAGCACTGAAAAACAAAACTAAAATGTCATTTGGATTAT